TCGGCAATCACTAGGTGGCTGAGCCGATTGACCACGAGCAGGTGATTAGTTTGCACCGCACCGCACTTGGGAACGCTGTTTGCTGGAGATTTCCTCAAGGAACAAAAACACCTCAGTTCGTCGGGAGTGTGGTAAATCCAAACCTATTATCAATATTGATTTGCGGCATCGGGTTTATCAGTTTCTTAGTACACCATCACATGAAACAAGTTCCATTCATGGCTAGCAAGTCAGGCCTCACGGAATGCTTTCGTGATAATCCGTCAAAGCTGTCTTTCAAACCCCTTGTGAGTAACAAATAAACTGCGTTAATTTTGCATTAAAATGGTGTGAATTCAGTGCGAAAGTTTATCCCGAGAGTGCATTGCTGATTCTTCCGGAAGCGAAAGTCCCAAAGGTTTGGACGTGTTACACATCAATGGCTGCATAGATTCAATGGACTTCAATCCCCATTACCATCCAATTTTCATCAGGAATAGCTGTTAATCCGGGTGCGAATAAAAATCAAACGAGAATCTCCATCACACCAATGTGCTTTCCCCTAAAGCTGAAATAGTGATAAACGTTGATCATGAGATTTTGCATCGGGCTTCACATTATCCTTCAGCCTGACCACATTCGACGGATAATTTAAATATAACCACTCATACAAACTGTTATGCGTATAGCAGATTGAGTGCGGGAGTAATGAGGAGGGTTCCATGTTGAGTCTTACTCGACTGCGCACAGCTCACTCCTTGTGCTGTTCCTTCTTGAGGTGTAAAGAATGGATCTGGCCCCTGGTTCCTCGTTAGCTAGGTGACGGTGTTTGGACATTTTTTAACCAGTTGTGTCCCACTTAGAACTACGATTATCTTGCTGACCATGGATAACACCCTTGGTATTGGAAGATGCTTCATCAATGACACCTAGATGAAACGAACTCGTGAAAGACCCTCAAAGTGTGTTCCAGAACGCCTGTTGTCATTATTGACACTCGAACTGAACATATGTTGTATCTGGCTCTTTCAGATAGAGAATTGACCTCACACACTGATGGCGGTTTGTCCGCCTCAACAATCCACTGAGTAGTGTCTATGTGGCATTCATAGAACCTTTCATACCAGGTTGGTTATTTTGTGGAAATCTTCCATATACGGGGGTTGATATTTCGCCTCCGACTCTCTGCAAAATCCACCATCAATCCGAAAATCCACCTGCGCAAATAGGCTTTTGAATGAAGGCCTAAATCGAAAACAACAGATGGCCTATTATATCTGTAACGGCGAACACTACTGATTAGGTATGTGAGAAATCTCTGGACCTATCGAAGCTCCACACCGCCTCCAATTTACGGTGAATTCTATTACTGAATTTGTGCAACTGCTTTACGTTGTCTGTTTACAGTAGCATAATTTAGACTCTCCTGAGACTCTTGAGAAATTTCGGTTTCCGAAAACTGCTACCAAATGAGATGCTCACTTTTTGGTTCAATAGACTGTAGCTGCTTATTTGGTGTTTGCGGATAAGGAACTTCCCGTTGAAGGGTATTCTACCTTGCACTGGTAGTATCACAGCCCAATTTCCAGTATGGATTTCACGCTTACAAGCTATCCTATGTGAGATAGGCCGCGACTGGTGTCATCAATTCGGTTGCTTTTTCTGCTGTACACCGCGGGGCGTGTAAGCAAGAAGCCATAGACGCTCTGAAATAATTCCGCAGGTTGTTTGCCCATCTTTCACGTTTGCACCCTGAAATAAGCAACGCAGCATACTTGTTCGCTTGATACGCTTGCCGTTTTACCAAAATGTGTATTACAATCCAATCACGGTGGCCGTACTGGTAATCCGGCAGCCTCTTCTGCTTGTTATACTGGGGCTTGTACTAGTACCAACCCCGTATATTATTGTGGTTGTTGAAGACATTATTGGACATTTAGGCAGAATTTGCGCCTCCGCGATTCGTTTGGGTCGGCGCAGAACCAAAGTTGAAATGTAGAGACCTCGGCGGACGCCCGAAAATGTTACGTTTTGAAGACGGGCGAGAATAACTTCCGGAGCAGCCGAAGGCGCCCCGCCGTGTCACGCTTCTTACAAAAGCCACCGGCAGCACAGCCATACCACATCGACATTAGCTATACGTCGCGTCGCTCGTAAGACAGCCTCTGTGTAAACCCAGATCAAAGGCATTTTCGGCGCTGATTAATGTTCCATGATCGCTGTACATAAATGAGGAATACACCGCAGCTGACTGTTGAGAGGACTTTGAAGCCTAACGTTAAACAAGCCTACCAGAAACAATATTGATGTCCCTCCCGGACGTGCCGACTTCTCATGTTTACTCCTACTGGAAAGCGTTTTCTGCAAGATGCTGCTCACCACGCGTGTGGAATAGTGCATTAAACGAGATGCACCTACTGAATTTGGCTAACGCTCTTAATTCCTTCGAAATTTGGACAAGTTTTCTGCTTGGTAGAGAGCGCAATATCATTCAACGAACGGTCAAACAT